GATAGCCGAGGCCGGACTCGGATAAAGCGCCGACACTCGAGCCAGTTGAGCAAATAATCACAGAAACCGTGTCACCGATAACGCGAGTAATCCCGACACGAAACGTCGACTCCGTGAATTGTCGCCTAATGAAGTCGTATTAATCGCGCGGAGAAATCGAAGAAACGACTCCCGGCTCGAGACAGTCTTCTTCCTTTCTCTCTCTCTCTCTCTCTCTCACTCTCTTTCTTACTCTCTCTCTCTCTCTCTCTTATTCTCTCTCTCTTACTCTCTCTCTCTCTCTCTTTCTCTCTCCGATCGACGATTTTCGTGAGAGAAACCGCCGCCCGGAGAAAAAGCAACGTCTTAACGAGCCCGAAAGATTCGCCCGCCTGTACGAACGTATCATTAGCGGAAACGGGACGACGGATCAGGGAAACTAGCCGCGTCCCAAACGTTAAACGCCTTCTAACGAGCAGCTCGCGCCGTGATCATCGCCGCGATTTGAATCTGTCTCCTATACACACTCCGGCCACTCTGCTTTCGAAACCCTCCGCCCCTAAATAGAGTCGTCGGGACGAGCGCGTTACCTATTCCAGGTTGTTCGTAGTCGGATCCGCCGAACGATTCGTAATAGGTACCGGGACGGTTTAACGGTCGGCTTTATGATTTTTTAAACGTCGTTGGTCGATGTTCCGGTATTAGTAGAAACGTCGATTCGAAGGGTAGATCGGGAAACAAGGTGGAACGAGGACGCACCGGTTGTCCACCGGACGAATTCGAGGCGTTGAGAAATATCGAGGGGGTGGTCCGACCCTTGATCGCGACAAGTCAGACATTCCTGGCACAAATCCTACGTTGTTACGCTGGCCGTTCGACCGGCCGTTATATTTTGTCCTTTTACACGAGCATTCGGAGACGTAGGTGCGTCAATTACGCGGCGAGAAAATTCAACGTATAAAAAATTTTATCGAGTGTTGGATCGTAACGAACGCGTTACGACGATGGAAACACGTTCGAACAAGCCGGCGAAAAGACACGCAGCTTTCGTTCGATACTCGGCGAAAACCGGGAAACCAAGAGAGAGAGAGAGAGAGAGACGTATGTACGACCGAGCGAAAACGAAAAACGAGGATCGAACAGACGGCGATTAAGTTTTGTAAATACTCTGGCGAATTTTCCGAACGGTTTGCGATAGCCGATGTCATCGGACGTACGTCTAGTTTCTTCCGCGTATCGCGACAACGACGTCCCAACCTCGAAATGTAACGAGTTCGCGAACGCGACGCCGAGACCCGTCGAACCGTGTGAAAACCACGCGAAACGTCTTCGTCGCAGCAGCTTCTAATGCCGATGAACGAGTCTCCTGGCCGATCGTACGGCGAAAACAGCGATTTGCGCGTGACTGAGCCCGCAGTGAAACGAATATCGGTTCGACGGGACGCGCGTCGGATTCACCTCGAACTTTGATCGTTCGAATTAAGAAGGACCGCGAACTAGGCGACTTTTTCGATTACGGAGGCGTTCGTTGCGAGGTACGATCGGAAGCAACGGGGCACCGTTGAAGACGAGCAGGCAAGGATCAGAGAGCACGGGAGAATGACAGAAAGAAGAGAGGAAGAGAAACGAGAAAGTGCGAAAAACGGAATAACGCGAGAAGCAAAAGAGAAGAGAGAGGAAAGAAGAGCGACCGATGCCCGGCGGCGACGAAAAACGCAAAATACTCGCTCTGTGCGATTAGCCTCCGGGCAACAGAATGCTAATGATAACATTAATAATAGCGATGTTAATGATAATAATAATAATCGTAATAATAAAGAATAATAATAAATGACAATAAAGACGACGAATAATATAATAACGATAATAATAAAATCATCCTATTAATGATAAATTATAATGACAGGTCTATTGTCCTTTACAATAGTTCTTTTCCCGCGAAACGATTTTTTCACGATAAAAGTCTCAATAACATAATGTAGCTACAACCTCTCCACATTGCCATATGTTTCTCTCTTATATACATCGACTTTTAGAGCTTCTATATATATATATACATATATGTGTGTGTGTGTGTTGTGTGTGCACACACATATATATATATTTATTTATTTATTTATTTATTTATTTATACGTGTGTATATATACTTACTCTTTATACAGAAGGGGTATTTCATTGCGAGGGAGTTCTGCTGTCGCTAGGATTCGGCACACGTTTTCCGACACGCGTATTTTCCCCGTTTCACGCGTGTCTTGTCCCTCTTAACAATCTGCTCGTTTTTTTTTTTTTTCGTTTACTTTGTCGCGCCGTATCGTTCCCTCCGAGACTTTGTTTCTTCCATGCTCTTTCGTTTCCACTATCGAAACCTGCTTCTCGTCCAGCGTTAACGGCAACGGGGATTTCGAAGAGGAGGACGATGACGACGGCAACGAAGAAGACGGCGATGTGCGATCTTACTTAACTTACTAGCTTTATCTAGTACATTATTTACAGTCCATATTTACTTATGTTACATCATCC